AGGGAAGAAACACAGAGCTTTTTAAAAACGAAATCTGAACTCAAATCGATCGAACGAACGAACGAACGAACGCAGAGCCTGGCCAGCTCTCCTGCGGCAAGACAGCAGACGCAAGATGAAACAAAAGTGAAAACCGTCCGTAGGCGAAACGAACGCTTCTGAGCTCCGTCCGACCGCAGTGTTTGCTCGCCCGCTCGGGGCAAATAAACGCCGTGTGCCAAGAGCCGCGATAAGGCCTTCTGTCATCGTTCCCAAGGCAATTACAGTAGCTTTATTCTCAGGTTTTACAGCATCTTACAGCACTTCCTATTTTCAGTGAGAGCAAACAATAAATTAAAAATAAAAGCAGTGCATAAGTCAGGACCTGGGAGTGTTACAGGCAGGTAGTGGTTTCATGTTCAACTCATCGCCTAGTTGGGGGGAGGACTGCTGTCTAAAGTTCAAGCCCCCCACCCTACATGAGTGAGGAGGCTGCCTGCTTTGCTTAGGGAGGAATTAACTGGGATCTCACATACACTTTTAGTGCGAGGGACTGGCATCCCATCCAGGGTCTGGCCCTGTCATGTGCGTTACTCTCCTAGGGACAGGCTGACCTTCCTGGGACACTGACCAGATGGATGGGTGGACAGAAAACCAAGGAAAAGATCCAAATTTACTATATTCATAATATTAGCTAAAAAGCAATATCTTTTTTTTTACAGCTGGGGTCAGTCACATCGGCGCCACTACGAGGTCCAGATAAATTTAGTCAGCCCTAAACAAAACTGGATTGATCAAGCCCAAACCGGCCAAGTCCACCAGTGCTTGACCAGTACTACAGCCTTGCTGGAGCAAAGCAGACTTTGAATGTGCTGGTTTAAGAGCTGGGGGTCCCGCCTTGATCCTGTCAGAAACGCAGCCTTCAGTTGCTCACTGATGACAAGCTCGAGTCAGTCCTGATCCCAGGATGGGATTTAAATTCATGCTAAAAAGGTAATGACCCAAGATAGCTAAAGGCTAAGCGGATTCATACACCAAACGCACTGCACTGACAGTGTTTAAGTAAAGCCGTGTAAAATCTCCCACAGTGCTTCCACCTTGACATCCCCCCCCCCCACTTTCTCCCCTTTCCTGTTAAAGTATCCCTCAGGTCTGGAACATGTCTAGACTACGGGAGCCTGGAGAATTAGGACCTTCTGACCAGCAGGGAATGTTAAATTGGAAACACGTGGAGGCCTTAATAGATATCAGGGTGTCAGCAGCCGGCGATCCCATCTGATGCACGCAAAGGTGGTAATGGAAAGCGAAAGCGCAGAGGTACTGCACGCTCAGAAGGCATTTCCGTGAAAACTGTGTGTAAATATTTTGGTATTTTCATGGCAGCCTCGCCTTCCAATGGTATTGATTATCTGCAGCGGTAAAAAAAAAAAACATACCACAATGCGTATAATAGATCAGAATGTAGTTAAAATGCTTCTTCCGAACTATCATTTTGCATTTTATTCAGGGGAATTCTTAGTGCACTTCAAAGACAAGCAAGCAACAAACCCGCGGACTGTCATGTTATCATTCCGGTATCATGGCGTGCTTCTGACCATTTATTAAAATTTGAAAGATACGCGAGACGAAACGCTGCCGTTTCACACCCATGGCGGTGACGGGGCGTCATGAACCCGCACGACAGCTGCGAAAGGGGAACCCGCTGATAGTACATCTAATTCACCAGCCACTAAACAGTTAATTCATAGCTCAGCCCAACACGAAATAATGCCGTTAAAAAATATGACCTCAGCGAAGAAAAATACATCGCATCTAATACCATAACGTACGAGGGTAGGTGTTCGCATGGCGGACACGCAGCGCCCGCTTTAAATAGCGCTCTGATCGAGAAGCTTCCACGCAAATCGTCAATACTACTGTTGTTATTATTATTAATATAAGGCTATTATGTTTTATCCATAAACGTGCATGCGTTTTTTTCCGTTGCGCCGTAAGTGCTGAGCTGATCTTCTCTTAAGCTTTAGGTTTCAAGAACACAACCGAACCGTGCATTATTTTAAAACAAGGCTGTGCATTAATTAATTCATTTTGCAATCTATATATGACTACTGCAGCTACAAAGTTTGTGTGTGTGTGTGTGTGTGTGTGTGTGTGTGTGTGTGTGTGTGTATATATATATTAATATATATAAAAAAACAGGCACAGCCGACAGAGATGCAGGCGCTTTAGGGAGCCGCTTCAAGTCGGGGTTCATGCGGCGAGATGCTGGTCTCGGCGGACCGAGAGCTCGGCGGCCACCGGGAGGGCCGGATCGTACACAGTGCCGCTTCCACTGGACATTTCACCCGTATCGGACAATGGACGTTTCACCCAGATCACTCAGTGCAGTTACTGTAAGAGCATTTACAGTTAACCGTGAACGCTAATCTAAGTTGTCAGACAAAACGAAAGTCACATTTTTCCCACCCCAGGGCTTGCAGTCACATGAAAATAAAGAAATATGTATATAAAAACAAACTTACCGCGGTATCCAGGCTCCAGTTATAATCCCCCGATCGTCACACGTATCAGTTCAGTATGATTACATGTATTATTTTAAGCCTAAAATATACAGTCCATCCAACTAGACTGCAGAGATGTGACCTAAACGCAAGTACGCACGGTATGCGGCTGCTCTCCTATGCATGGATGAATTAAATAGCTCGGCCCGCTTCATTGGTGTATAGATGCAGAAACGCCTCTTCTTCGAAAGGCGCCGAGCCGTAGCGCCTCCTTTCGCCTTTGCACGGCTCTATCGGGTCCATCCACCGCCTCCGATCGCCTTTTTTATTTTTTTTTGCACAATTTTTGCACGTAGCACACGACGCGGTCCCCCCTCCCAACCGGTCCGGCGCAGACGGCGAGCCCAGGAAGGGGGGCGTGAGAGGGGTGGGCTTGTGTCAGCAGCCGGCATCAAGAGACACCTAACCCGGTCCGTTACGTCGTCTGTTTATTTTTCTCGATAATTTATTAGCAAATCAAATTAGTAATGCGGATATTTGCTGCGTGCAAATCTAGATACGCCCTTCCTTCTGCTTGTCCAACATCTGGTTCAGCTTCAGAAATGTTAAATGAGATGTTTCATTCCTGCGGTGATGTTAAACCTCTGTCTGACCCCTTGCTAAAAAAACAAAAAAAAAAACAAGGTGATCTAGCTAAATATCTACGAACGTCATCTACGATTTGTAACCAAGATGAACCAGAGAAATTCTTTTGAATTTATGCAAGAGTCAACATCGTTTTGAGCAAAATTCAGTTGTTACCATGGACATTTTAAAACATCGCTTACATAGGCTTAGTTTTTTTTTTTTCTCAGTCGAAACATTTTGTATCGGACACAGAGGAGTCTTAACACAAAATCTCTGCCCGTCTATGGGCAGGTTGACGAAGGTTGGGTGGAAACATTTGTACTAAGAGTTGGACATCATCTGTGGCGTGTTATTCGCTCTGCTGGCTCGCTCCGGCCCCCAAAGAAACACTACTGTATGTCAGTCGTGGGTCTTCTGGTTGCTCTTTGGCAGGACAGCACTCCGCAGGCGCTGCATGCTAATGCGGTGCCAGTCACAGGGGGACTTTGTGAGCCCGCGGAGCGGGGGAGGCCCATGTGACCTCCTGAATGGGCTGTCCGGGCAGCGGGCAGGAGATGGGCGACCACAGCGCCCACAAAGGCCCATTGAGTGGACTGGCACTGACCCCCCTGCCATCATGTCCGGCGTGGGGGGCGGGGTAAAGAGCTCCAGTGATGGAGATGTCTCTCTGCTGTTCTACCGTTCAACCGTAGAAAAAAAGGTACAGCGGTGGAAAGTCTGGACACACCTGCTTTTAATGCATATGACTGTTCTAGCTATGCAAAGCATATAGGAAAAAGCTTTGAGGCAACAAAATAACACATATCAAATATTGCAACAACCGAGAGAAGTGTTCAACATCTCAAAATGTTCTCAAATTTACACTTTTCCAAATTGTATTGTCCCCTTTCACTTCGATGACAGCATTGTAGACTCTCGGTGTTCCTTCAGCCAGCTTCTGGATGTAGCCACCTGGAATGCTTCTCCCACAGCCCTGAAGGAGTTCCCACAAGTACTGGCCACAAATTGGCTACCTTGCTCTTACTCTTTGATCCAACTCATCCCAAACCAGCTCTTTGGTGGGGGATTGCGGGGGCCAGGTCATCTGTCACAGCACTCCATCTGTTTCCTCCTTACTACCCTGCATATGGTTGGTATCTAAACGTCTGACTGGTACAGCAGTGGCCAGCATGCCTGCTCCGTGGAGAATCAAAAATGCTGCCGTTTGCGTTTCTTTGTTGAACCCGGCCACTTTACCATTAGTCTGGAACAGCCATCACCCTGATTGGCCTGCTTCAGGTCCCTGCAACACCAGGGGGCTTTTAGCAATGTGGGGAAGCCTCGCTATGCAGTGACCTGCCCCGACTGGGGAGGCCGGCGGTAATGATGCTTCACGGGGCTTACCTGGCCTTAAATTGGATTCCAAGCTTGCTAGATCGCACATTTCATTTGTGGACATAGTTGGCAAATAAAAGGTACTCTGCATTTAATGAGGCGGAACAACCTCGCTGGCAGGCAAATAGTGACCACAAGGCTTCTCTTTGTTTTCTGGGAGAGAGACCAGTAATTTAACAACCAATAAAACAGCAGATTAAACAGATTAAAAAAACATTCCGGGAGATAGTCCACCCTCATCAGCTCAGACAGTATAAATCGATCTCAGTGCCCAGGTCTGGATGCAGAGGTGATGAGTGTCATCTGCTAACTAGTTGTTTTTTCGTCTGCTCAGCACTGATTCTGGCATGCTGTGTTCTCAGCTGACACTCTGGGCAAGTAGTTAGAATTATTTTGGGGGGGGGGGGGGCTTATATAATTATGCAGCGTCAGTGTGGAGGCCAAATGGACTGCTGCATTTGCGCTACAGAGCTCCCCCCCCTGTGGTCATATTCCATGACATTTAATTCCCCGTGTCGGTCTTCCTGTTACCTGTGCTCAGTGGTGGGTTTGTTTTTGCTGGGGTCCCACAGGAAAAGTTATTTGGGGGCTCCCCGTTCCCTTTCAGGCGTGTCCCATTCAGTGTCTCCTAAATAAGGCATTTATTTCATATTTAGAGTAGTGACTACTTTTGGCCAATAGGGGGCCACATAGGGGCCCTATACAAAGACGTGGTATACACCACAACTGCCTGTGCTCTTCCATGTAAGATGCACGACTCGCAGGTATCACAGGAAACTCGGTCCACTTTTGGTGCAGAGAGCTGTCACGGATGCCCGAGCTGAAAAAAGACCCTTTAGAACCTAAAAATAGGACAACGGAACAAGGGGGGAAAATAAGACAAATATATTTCCCTTAATTGTAAGAGAGTAATGTGGGTGTAAAAACAGGGTCCTCAGAGAAGGAGCATTTTGAAAGGCAGAGTGATTACTTCGGCGTTAGTGTGGGCGCCTCCCCGCCTGAATCGTGTGTATAGGATTAATGATTCACCGGCCCTAGACCCCAGACTCTTTATCAAGTGTTTTGAGTCATTTTTCGATGGGCAGAGTCTGCTCGTGCACCACCTGAGTACATGCCGTACATCCACCTGGCCAGTCACAGGCACGAAAGCAGTACAGAGCCATACTGGATTATATAACCATGAAATAAAATTAACAACAATCATCATCATCATACATCTTCCAACAATTTATGCTGGTCAGGGCTGTGGGCGTAACAACAGCACAAATAACAACAATAATAACAATAAAGACAAATAGCAATAACAATTAAGATGAATAACATTAATAATAATAACACGAATAATAATAACAATAAAGACAAATAGTATCTTATAATGCTAACTAAATTCTAACTGCAGCATTACTTACGTCGCTGACAACATAAAATTTTATCTCAATGAAGCCGTGTTTCAAAGCAGTTGATTTTCTTTTCTTAACGATCTGACATCTGAGTGTTTTTTCTGCTACCAGCATATGTGTTATTGCCCAGGGACACTCAGTCCCAACAGGGGTCGACACTGCAGTGCCCTTGGGAATGAGAAGAGGAGGATGTCGCACGGTGCAGAAGATCAGTTTCATGTGTTCAGATAGCAGTATGCATGCTTCAGTTTGTGCTTAAAGGCCGTTCACTGAGCAAGGCTTAGCCACTGAGAAAGATGAGCCTTTCTTTGTGGAATATTTATCTCTGTCTCCCTCTGGTGATGAGATTACTTAAAATCAGCAGCTTGAATCAATACGAATGTAGAATATGTAATCCAGGCTTTAAGAAGTAATTTTCAATTTAACCTGGACTGGTAGTGATAAGTGGATATAAAATATTTTTATAGCATAGTAAAAAAATATAGAAAATACTGTCCAAATCCCCCCCCATAACTAAGAACATGAATGAGGAGAAATTCATCCACCATTTTCAGCTAGAGACTATTACCTGGGAGGGGGGGGGGATGTCACGCCTTCAAAGCTCCCATGTCATAGTAGAATGTAAAACACACACAGATCTGTAGTCATATCTTTGTGGGGACTCTCTATTCCCTGTCATTCCTACGGGCGTAACCCTAATCCCAACAATGACAGCCTTAACCCCCATCCAGCCCTAACCTTAACCAGAAGTAACCAAACAAGTCTTTTGGTTTTTTTCATTTTTTTGAATGCAGTTGCAGATTTTTATAAAATTGAATTTCCCCTTGTGAGGACCGAAAAAATGGCCCCCACAAGGTCAAAATACACAGGTTTATATCACATTGTGGGGACATATGGTCACACACACACGCACGCGTAATACAATGTGTCTTTTCAGTGCTTTTCCAAGAGAACATGCTAACTCAGGGAAAAGGCCGGACCAAAATCCCCCCCAGCCCTCCACCCCCCTCGACCTTGAAGCTTATGAGCGCATCGCTAACCGGTCAGCGCTTGCGCTAACCACCATTACCTTCACCGTTACACATGACATCATGTAGCTGCGCTGCTGCAGGAAGTCGGGTGCAGGGAGCCGCAGGAAGGGACCAGGCCTTCATTGGGCTGTGACAGATGGGAGGTGAAGGATATTCACCTTGGCACTTCCTGGATCAGGAGCTGCGAGGAGATTCATTCGCGGGGGTAGCTGGTCTCCAAAAGTATAGCTGATCTGCAGTTAATGAGGATCGGGGTGAAGATTCAAAGGTACTATTATTAAGAATCTATTAAATACCCCAGAAAGTCTTTTTTTGGAGTGGGGGTGGGGGTGGGGGCAATGACGGCTGAGATATCAGAAATATCCTGGATCCATTAGCAAATAGCAGCATGCTTGAAAGGGTCTTCAAAGTCAATTATGTCTGACTGATTTATTACTTAGAGTACCAGCACATTGGGGAGGAACTCATTTGAGGGGCCCACTCTTGGAATCGTGATCTGATGGTGGTGGTGGTGGGGGGGGGCGGTTCTTCCTGAGCATCTTCTGGCTTATGCAATGCGGCCTGCGGACGGTCACTGAAGCTGCAGTAACAGGATTGTGCTGTAGTCCGCTGTGCCCATACGCACACACAGGGACGCCCGTAAAGGGTCTATGGTCACCATTAATGCAGGACTTCAATATTAATAATATTGATAATAATA